CTTGCCAATGGCAACAAGGTAGGAGATCATTGGAACTATCATCATGCAAGCACTGGCAGGTGCCAGGTACTGAGAGCCCTTTAGGTTGTCGCAACTCTCCGCAAGCCTGAAGTTATTGCCGATCTTGCTTCCCAATATTCCAGAGACCAGTTGCTCGTCCTCAAGCTGGATGTCGTCAAACTTGATAAGATCAAAGCTGGTTTTGCTGCTGCCAAGGAAGCATTTGGGCGGATAGACGTTGATCGTAGCCTAAAGTATACGGTCGATCGTCCGCTCACGTCATCACAGGTTTTCAACAATGCCGGCTTCAGCATTATCCATGAAGTTGAAAGCACGAACAAAGAGTTGACGAAGAGAATGCTCGATGTATGTTCGAAGTAAGGCTCCCCACAGTCAACGATGGTTCTATCTGATTTGAGGCAGGTCAACTTTTGGGGAGCAGCACACGTTACACAGCAAGCAGTGGCCTTCTTCTGCAATGTAAACCAGCCCCAGGGCGGCCTGCTGCTCTATGTTGGGAGTCGATACGTCCCCCAGAGCCGGATTTTATTGCGCGTCGTTCGTATCCTTCTATCGCCCCCCATTGCTCCGGCTGAACTGGGACAGGAAACATGCAGGAGAAGCTCTGACAGATCTCGATTTTATGCCCAGGCTGGTTCAAAAGTAAGCATTTGTCGTATGCATTTTGTCCGCTCACGGTGTTTTCCCAGCTAACATGACCACCGTGAATGCTATTTGCGAGGACCCACACCCGGCATATGCCAAGAATCCATCCATAGTACGTTCCAAGTCAGTTATTCCCAACCTATCTGAGACATCAAAAAGGTCTGGGGTGCTTTCATAGGTCTTCAGCGGGGTGATAGCCCATTGCTCCAAGATGCAAATAAACTAATCGACAAATTTTGGGTCATGATGTCATCAGTAAGCTTGAAAACCCGCCATACCGCATTGCCTTTGGTGAAGATGCTAAGGCTTGCTTCAAAGCAAACTGGGAGACACACAAGAAGAATTTAGAAGAGAGTGAAGAGTGGGCCAAAGACCTTATATTCTAGCATTATTAGATAACGGTCACCTTTGCAGCAAGGGGGGTTCAAGATTCTTATCAGGCACATGGGGTAGGGGGGAGGGGGTCCCTGGGGGGTAAAAAAAACTTTTTCTATATGAAACATTTTAGCCTTATATGGGTGTAAAGACACCGAAAATATAGTATATACACTCTAATTTCTATGGTTCACAACCATTATACTTATATCTATATACCTTTCAGGCCTATGAGCTTGGATAGCCTTATCTGTCATAGGCCCATCATCAGGTAATTGATGAGAGGTGAACATATTGAACAGTGATATGGCCTGCCATGTGTGTTTGAGGGTTCCAGGTACATAGATACCTACACATATACACATGCACATATATATAATGTTTTGCAAAAAAAAGTTTCTCAAAGATTGAATTTTTTATGCCAATTTTTGATCGCATCAGCGGTCACATGACGCGAATTGTGGGAACATATTGCCTTATATGGCAGGAGGGGGGGGTCCCCAGAGGGTCGGAAAAAAACTTTCCGACCCTATATCCATGTTTCGAATCTTGAACCCCCCTTGCTTTGCAGTCTTTCCGTTGGGGGATAAGTATATGTACTTTCGGTTTATCGTCTGCTTCCAAAAAATCCCTAAGAATATGTCAGGCGAAATGTGCAAATGGAAAGAGACTCGCACAGACAGATTATTGCATCTCACCCCAGTTTACGCGATTTTGGACATTTTTGCACAGAACATTACAGTATATCGCTGATATGTTTCCCTTCGGCCATGATCATGGGCAATTTCTTTCTACTTCACATCGTGATTCGGATATGTGGAAAGAAAGGTTTCTCATACTCTCAGCGACCCGATGGCCGCTGTACATCACATCACATTCGTTCCGTATATTGGACACAAGCCCAAGCCGGGGGCACAGAGCGACAGACGAAACACGTTTGTGTGTATGGACAATGTCATAATAAGATATAGATATAGATGTAACACGATACAACAGCGATTTACAGGTGGGGCACAACAACAAATGAAGGACGGATCCGGATAGATGAGGGGCTTGTGAAAGGATGGAAAATAACTGGAACATACGGTCAGAGCATGACCGCACCTTGCAGGTTCGACCGCAAGACAATGCTAAGGAAGACTCGTCAGTTATCATCGGCGCAACAGCAACGAAACCCCACTCTGTGCACCATATGAGCGAAGCGATCAGCGAAACGAAAAAGTGGGCGCACCTTCGACGGCAGTCATGACAACCCTAAGCAGTTGGGTGTCCGTCGCGTTTGTTATGCTACAGGTGCGGGATGCATCGGCCACGGTGACAACAAAACCGAGATCAACGTACTGCGTGTATACCTCCCGATTCCGTGTGCTCGCGACACCCGAAGCCGAAGCAGCCTTCTGCGCCTGGGCTTTTTGTGCAATTCGCCCAAACCGCTTCTTGAAGTAGTCCCGGCCAGCAGTCGCGGACCCCTCTTCGCCCTCGAAGTCCTTCGCGCCAAGTCAGCGTCCAAGCCCGCGGAAGACCGCCCGCAAAAACGCACGGGAAAATATGTCTTGACATGGGACGTGCGAACCTTCTGGCGGAAGAGGTCGTCCTTGTTCAGGAAGAGAATCTGATCATCAATGATTAGTGAGGATGCGCCAAGATGAAGGGCTAGTACTGACCAGCGACGTTTTCTTAAACCAATTAGAATGGCATATCGAGTCCCAGATAGTCATGGCATCCTGCATCTGGTTCTGATAGTAGCGCGCATCAGCATGCGCTTCGCCCAAGGGCAATCACGACAGGGAAGAGCAGACCACTTACTGCTCCGCGATCTTCGATCAAGCACTGGTCGTAGCCACTCAAACTGACGAGGAACAAGATGGACGTGACGTCTTGGAAGCAGTGGATCCATTTTCGCCGCTCGGTCTTCTGTCCGCCGACCTATTTGACAGACACCGTCAGTCCCACTCTCGAACAACAGATGGAACCAAAATGAAAAGAAGAACACGCACATCGACGACCATTAGCTCCTCGCCCCGCAGTTTAAACACCGTCTCCGTGATCCCGATTGTCCGCGCTCGCGTGCGCAGGATATCTTGCTCCGTCGGCACGTAGTCGCCGGCAAATAGACGCGCGATGGAGTCTATCAGGTATGGAAGACTAAGATTCGAGTCGGGGCGTCAGTGCAAGAATAGCAGCAGTGTAACACGGGGTACGTACTTCTCCGGTAGAGCCACTTCATTGGCGCGAGACCACGCTTCGCGGATGATTGGTTCTTCCCATAGACGCAGAACAGCCTGGAGGGAAGGAGATAGAGATCGTCAGCAACAAGTAAGGTTGGCAGGCGATGGACGCACCCCAAGATATTTCAGCGGAAATGGTTGGCCGTCGTGCAGGTCTGGAGTGTTCTCAATCAACGCCACGTCGACCTTGGCAAGTTGTGAGTGAGAAGGAGAAGAAGAGAAGTATCAATGCGCGCACCGCCAGTCTGTCGGGGAGGACTCCCTGTTCGTCGTGGGCCACGCTGTCCTCACTGCGGTTCTCATCGTCGTGTCTCTCGTCCCGGACATCTGCTTCGAGCTGTCTTTGCCTCCACACTTTGGCGACTTCGCTCCCCGAACCACCACACTCCCCAGGTGCCCAGCCTTTCACGAAGCCTCCACGATCTTCAAGGTCATTTTCCATATAGACGGCACTGTAGCCGGCGTCCACGTCGAGCACAAGCCCCAGCTCAGGCAGGGTCTCGAGGATGGTGAGCAGGCCACGCGTAAGATTGTCGAAAACCAGCTGCCGGAAGTGCTCGATCTCCTCTTGGGAGAAGGGCACGTTGTGGATGAGCCGCATCTGCTTCTGCACTGTCGACTTGCCTGACTCGCCGGAGCCAAGGAGCAGAATCTAGGCCAGCGTAAGCGTCAGCCTAGTAAGCAATAATGGACGACTGCGCACCTTGTATTCATGCGCGCGCTTCGCTTTCGCAATCTGCAGCTCCTTCTCCGCCGCGCGATGCAGAAGCTTGTCCTGCTCGGAACCTTCAGGCGACGAGACACATCCACCCATTGTCTAGCGGGACGTCTGGTGGCGAAAGGAGGGAAAGGCGGGTGGGTGGGAATGCGGTGCAGTCGGAATACGCAACAGCCGAGGCTGAATCGCAGCTGAGGCTATTAGCGTCCCGGGCGGCGACGTGCTTGACACCCTCGTCGATCCGATTCAAAGTCGCAGATGCCGGGTTGGTAAAGTGAGGCAACGTGAGATGGTGGGTAGAGGCAAGGCGGGTGGTGGGCCGTGACTCCGTCCCAAGCGCGCAGAACCCGTCGATGGGAATCGCCCGGACCATTCATCATGCCCATTGAAGTGGAAGGAAAGTGCCACGCGTACCATGTCACATCAGTGATATCTATGTCACAAACACGGCATACGTTTACCGCAGTTACTTGGATGACCGAATGGGTGCTCCTGACTTCCAGGTGGGATGAATGAGGCAGTGCGAAGGGCATACGCAGAGTATCGATGACATGGACAGCGGTGAAGACGTCGTGGAATACTTGTAATGGTGTAATCACAAATCTCAAAACCACATATGCATCATTCCGCCACGTCATCCGGCGTTAGGCAATTTAAATCCGGAATCTCGGCGCAGCCAAGCCTTGATAATCAGCGACTTGGTTTGGCCTGAAAAAGGAGACTTGCTGACACTATATCTGTTTTTGTTTGTTTTTCCACCTTTTGGTTGTGATGTTGCCAAATATGTATATTTCGTACTAAGTGTAAAGCTCAAATAATAATGGCTTGGAAAAGAAATGCTCAATGCGACCTCCGTGAATGAGATACTGTACTAGTAGTCTTTTTGCATTTGGACTTGACATGTAAACTACTTCGAAATTCTCATCCACGGCAAATAAGTATGACGTGGCGATTCCAGTCCCACACCTGTCATCCGCACCGTCTCTCTTCTTCTCACCTCGCAGGTGGCGGCCATGGCAGACATTGTCTTCTACGACATCCCCTGCAAGTCGACCCACGTTTCAGCGTCGTGGTCGCCGAACACAATGAAAACCCGCTACGCGCTCAACTTCAAGGGGGCTCGCGTACACGACGCGCTGGGTGGAGTTCCCCGACATTGAGCGCGTCGTTAAGGAGCTCGGCGGGCAGCCGACGCGCATGAAGCCTGACGGGCGGCCGCATTACACACTGCCGATGATCCACGATAAGGCTACCGGTGCGTCGTTGACTTCGCCGGTCCGCGGGGGCTAACGAAGACTGACAGGCGCGGTCGTGACAGACTCGTTCAAGATCGCCTGCTACCTCGACCAGACCTACCCGTCTCAGCCTAGACTCGTGCCATCAAGCAACTTCGCCCTTGTTCGTGCCGTCGAAGACGCCCTCCAGCCGCTCCTCGCACCGGTCTACCCGTTCGGCGTGCCCGCGACAGAGCGCATTCTGAACCCGGCCAGCGCGGTATACTGGCGCGGCACACGCGAGGCCATCTTCGGCATGTCCCTCGAGGAGCTGCTTCCCGCGCCTGGGAGCGAGCGCGAAAGCACGCAGTGGGCGGCTGTCCGGGCCTCGTTTGATGCCATCGACGACTGGGTGATCCGCGGATGCGACCGGTACCTCGGCGGAGCGGAGGTGGGATACGCTGACATGCACGTCGCGGCCTTTGTGCGGCTGGTGCGGGACGTGCTTCCGGCGGACAAGTGGGCGGATATGCACAGCTGGCACGGCGGCCGATGGGAGCGCTTGCTCGTCCGGCTGGCGGAGCACGAGCTTGTGCCACTCGTTTGACGATTGCCGGGCTTGTTCCAAGTGATTGTCCATCGTTTGCCTAATAAGGACGTTGATGATGCTGCGAGACGAGCGCCAGTCGCGTCAAGCGCCCATCCAGAGATGTCGCTGAGTGATTGGGCCAGCAACGCGCGAACGGGTGCTAGCGTAGGGCGCTTGAGGGTGTACGACAGGTGGAGCTCTTTCGAGGAGCCAGAGGATGTGCTGCGATCGGCTGCCGTTCAGTCAGTGGAGGGTTATTGGGGGGATGGAATCCGGCATTATGGTCACGGAGTTGACGAGTGGGTGGGACTTTAAGTACCGCCCCGATAATTTACGCGTAAGCTGACCGATATGAAATCGGGGGCGGGTCAACGATGTGGCGCTCCGGTGTCTTCATAGATAGCCGGTGTCCGGGAAGGTCCTCGCACAAAACAATTTTTCTTCCGCCAAGTTTCAGCAACAAAGTGGCCTCCCCGCTGGCATAAAGTCGGGACTTCATGTGTCGTGAAGACTGGCGTCTATGGGACCCACCCATCGCCCCCGTCGTCGTCGTCGTTGTGTGCCACAGCCTCCGTCGTCATGGCGTAAGAAAAGAAGCAATGCGGTGTGACTCGAATCAAATTGACGCGTTACTCTTTTGACGCAAACGTCCATGTCCCTTCAAACGCTTTGGTACAACAGATACTGGGAGCAGCGCAAGACATACGGCCCCCGCTATTGTGCTCAACATCTATTAGCACCATGAATGCTGGCTACCGAACGCAGCCCAACGTCGACTCAGAGTCTCGGACGCTGACGCGAGAATGACCCTGAGCTGGACATCCTATATTATCGTTGCGTTGTCCTCCCCAGCTTTGTAGTATTATGCGCTCACAGAACCTTGCTCTCCTTCTGGTATGGGTATCGATATATCGGCTCCCATTGCAGTCGACGTCTAGGGCCAATGCGGCGGCATTAACTACTCTGGGGCCACTGGTGCGTCGTTCGTCCGGTGTCGCATTCGACTCTATTCTCACTCAACTCTAAAGTTTGCTGCGCTGGAGCAAGTCATCTAGTCCGCAATAGAGACGTTGCGCCATGGCCATTGGAGACATTCAATGGCTCCAATGGCTCATTAAATCGCCACTTACAGTATTTATAGAGATTATTTCTTGACCAAAATTTGAGGTTGACTAGATAATAAGGTAATGTATTCTTCCCCAAAATCTGGTTCCAAAAAGGCGAAAAAATGCAGCCATTGGAGCCATTCAATGGCTGTGGCGCAACATCTCTAATGACTATTACTACCAATGTTCCATCAAGGCACAACGACTTCAACGAAATCCAGTGCAGGCTCGGCCGCCACGGTGAAAAGATCAAGCTCGAGCACCCAAGCAAGCTCCTCTGCGACTCAGGGCGCGTCAGCAGCTTACCCAAACTGGCTTCGTCAAAACCTCCGGCACGCGCTTCATGTTGAACGGGTCGCCATTCACCGTCATCGGGCTCGTTTTGTTGTTACTATACCCGAAGAATAGCTTATGGTCCAAAAGCTCCAACGCGTACTCGCCCGCGCTTCTGGGATACAACGCGGCCGATATCAACCAGGCACTCGCCGACGTCGCCAACTCTGGCGCGACTGTTACGCGGACGATGGGCTTTAACGAGGTGACGAGCGCGAGCGGGATCTATTTCCACCTCTGGAACGGCAAGACCGAAACGGTGAATACCGGGGCGAATGGCCTCGGCGCTTTTGGTGAGTGTTCCCCATTCCTCGCTTGGCCAACAGCTGATACTCGGGCGCAAGACACCTCTCTCGTCGCGGCGGCAAAGGCATACGGAATCCGCCTCATTGTCGCACTGACGAACAACTGCATCAGTAAAATAGCATAAAGGTCTTTCTGGTCTTTGGTCTTTGGGGAGGGTCTTTGGTCTTTGAAAGTAGGTCTTTCTGGTCTTTGGTCTTTGGTGCTTAATCTTTGGTCTTTTTTCAGAGTCTTTGGTCTTTTTGAGATTAGTCTTTTCTTGAGGTTGGTCTTTGTTTGAGATTGGTCTTTTTCAAGAACAATCTTTTTTGTGAAAGTACTTTATATCTGTATATGGATAGGTATAAATAAAAGCCCATTGTTTACAACTTTATATTCTACTTCAAGTTGAGCCATAGAGACAACTTGAAATGCATGGACAAGTCTAAGCAATTTGCCAGCATAGTGAGCACACTGTCCATTATAATATAAATGACCAAATACATACTACATTCAATCATAAACATGCACATGAACGTTCTATAACTTCTATTCCGCATCACCTGGGCTGTTTACTCGATGAAATATGCTAAGTCCGAGCCGAGGGTGATGACGAAGCTGCAATGACAAACCGGCCGGGTATGGTCCGTAGCATCACGGAAGCTCCGCAGTCACTGTCACACATCTACTTTTTTACTTCCTTCCCTCCACAATCCTCCCCCTCTCCGAACGGTGCCCAGAAGAAGTACAGGAACCGACATGGAGCAGTCCAAGGTGCGTACCACCCATAGAACGAGAGCATATACTGATATGCTGTATACCTGGTCGCCCGAGCTGGCAAGCGATACAGATCGCCAGCTGTTGCTCTGTGACAGAAGGCCAGCAGGGCCATTCCCTCGCCGTTTTCGGCCACATTCGGTGAGCGAGCAACACTTCCCCAATCCTGACTCATGTTACTACAGCACCATGGTCCTCGCATCCGCCGCAGACTGCCTGCACGTCGGGACCGCTGTGTTTTGCGGACAGTGGCGTTCTGGCTCATCTGCCGCGCTCGACCAAGCCTTCAGCGAGACAACGCCGTCGTTGTCCCGCAATCCCAATCTTCTTCCGGTGAGTGTATTCGCCAGTGTATTCGCCTTGTTTTTCAATTCAATTTGCTCAGCGCGTGTGTTATATGATGTTCCACCCCCACCGCCACGTCCCTCCTTGTCGCAGGCTCCGCGGCGCCGCGTCTCCTCACCCTTCCCGCCCGCGGCTGATGCGATGCGATGGGCGGGCCGCGCGTCAAATCTGGGGCCGAACCGGCCACGAGCGGGCCACGACTGGCCTCGTCCGGCCGAGCTCAGGCCTGTGGGCGGGGAGCGGGCGGCGGGAGACAGCCGCTTGCCCGTTCAGGCTGAAACATGAAGTGTTGGGAGCGACATGTTCTTCGCGCTCGACGCTGCAGTTTTGGTGAGAATCGGCGTCAAACTGGGCGCAGGGTGGGCGGGGAAGTCGACAGCTTGGGACATGTGTTGTCGTATGTAGTATGATATGTATGCAGTCATTTATGAATTTAATATTTCTTTCATTTATTGCATCCTGAACACTACTAGAGCAGCTTTCATGGGCTTTTATCAAGTCTTTATGGTAGTCTTTACAAAGAATCTAAGGTCTTTCCAAAGACCAGGACGCTGCCTTGGAAAGACCTAGTGTCTTTTGAGTCTTTTGGATCTTTCAGGTCTTTTTGGTCTTCACCAAAGACCCCAAAGATCTAAAAGACTTTTATGTGATTTTACTGATGTGATCGGACTTTGGCGGAATGGATGTTTATATGAATCAACTTCTCGGGACTGGCCTGCCGCAGAGTATATACGAGTTTGGTGGGAGTGGGACTCGTGCCAGTCCCACTCCCAGTGCTGTTTGACAGCGGTATCAGAGTGGGACTCAATGCAAATCATATGCATGATATCATAATCGTCGGGCGGCCGGGGTTTTCCACCCCGGACCCCGACCAGGGCCTTGCCCTGGACCCACCCTGCTGGGAGCAGCCGCTTGCCGCGGGGCCCGCTGTGCGGAGCAGGCTCTTCCCCCCTTTTCACATGGTTTTCACCAATATCAACTTCTTTTGCGGCGCCGGCCGCGACGGCCGGGGTTTTCCACCCCGGACCCCGAACAGGGCTTCGCCCCGGACCCCACGCTGCCGCGGGCTGCCGCTCGCCGCGGAGGCTCGCTGCGCGACGCCGGCTAAGTCCCTCCTCTGATTTTGCATCAGCCTGCCTTGGAGACAATCACAGCAATCAGCCATGAATCCCACTTTGATGGCGGGAGTCCCACCGATTGGAAGGGAGTGGGACTGGCACGAGTCCCACTCCCACCATTCTCGTGTACCCTCCCTGCCGCACGATACTTTTTATACGAACCCGACTACCATCGTACGCCGCTCGATACCAGTCCGAGCCCGTCTTGACGTCAGCCATTTCAGGCGGCATACAAAAGCTACATCCAGGCGATTGTGACCAGATACCTCAACGAGCCGACTATTATGGTGCGTGCAATATGGTCTTGTGCATTTTGTCTGCATGTCCATCTCATCCTTGTGCAGGCGTGGGAGCTTGGTCAGTGAATGCATTGAATCTCGTATCTCAGGTACTCATCCTTTTGAAGCGAATGAGCCCAGATGCGCGGGAAGCACGAGGTTTGTCCCGATTTATATTCCGTATCCAAACGTCGACCTGTCCTTCTAGCGTCGCTTCCGCAACATGCAATACGACGACAATAACCACATGGGCTGCTGATATATCGTCGTATATCAAGAGTATTGACAAGAACCATCTCGTAGCCATCGGCGACGAGGGTTTCTTCAACCAGCCTGGAAGCCACGACTACGACTATGTCTACCAGTGCGTCAATTTCTTCAAACATGATTGAGAAGCTTAAATTCTTTAAATTCTTTATAAAGGGGATCAGCAGGCGTTGACTTTGCTGCGAACATGCTCATCAGCTCTCTCGACTTCGGGACGTTCCACATGTACCCGGTATGTGATGGTTTCTCAGAAATCTTCTTGCTCATGAGCATTCAGGATGCATGGGGCCACTCCGGCACAGGCGACGTTGCCTGAGGCCAGCAATGGATCAACGACCACGCGGCAGTAATGAACAGCACCAAGAAGCCTGTGCTCATGGAAGAGTTCGGGCTGACTAACTCGGGGACGACGCGCGCAGGGAACTACGCGACGTGATACTCAACGGTTCTGAGCAGCGGGCTGACGGGGGATCTTATGTGGTGTGCTATTTCTTGTCTCGCTGCTGCTGTTGACTGTCGATAGGGAAGCGGGCTCGAACCTATTAGCGACTGGTGGCGCGCAGTATGTGATATGCCCCAGCAACATGGCATATGCGATGATTGGCCTCATATCGCCATAATTAAGGCTCAGGGGGTGAATGTATGTGTGTACCATAGCTTCCTTTTAAATGATTGATTCACAATGCTCCGAAATAACAAGTACAAGCAGTCGCGACTACGTATGTGTTTCATGAAAGACTCAGAAAGAGTTTCCGTTCGCCCAACGGCTGCCGTAGGATTAGGTTCCAATCGACCGTTATGTTCCCAGCAACACACCTTACTATGCGCGAGTCGCAGTTGCGTCATGCTCTTGGCACGCCGTCCTCCCCGTTCTTCAATGCTGCACGAGCCGTCGTGAGAGCCTTAACACTGGGGGCATGGCCTACGGCGTGCCGGAACACCGCGGGCCGGCCGCGTGGCTGGCCGCGCACCTACCGCGGGCTGACCTCTTTCCACCCTCATGACTGTGGAGGTTCACAGAGGTGTCAGCGGAGAAATTTATGAAAGAGAATGATGGCCGCATTTTCAGCATGCTGCCGACACATGTCTCGGTGTCAATTTCATGCTCTTTGTTGCAAAAACTACATTAGCTGAGATTTTATGAATTATGCTCCATATCCCATTCTCTCCCATGCTGTTCAAACGCAAAGCTTCACCAGAACGATCTTCTTCACCTGATGCTGCCACTTCCGAATCCGATCGACGAAAAGAAGCAACGCCCAGCTCCTCAAGGATCAACTGTGCCCGAGTCAGCTGATCCCGCTTCTTCGACATCTAAAGGTGGACCAACCTCCGCCCGAACGTCCTGCAGCCAGCGATGCCAAGAGAAAGAAGAAGAAGAAGGCGCGCAAACCTAAGGGACCTGCTCCCATTGTGCCTGATGACCAGGAGCAATTGAAAACACGAACCCAAGTGTGTACCATTCCATGTTAACGTTAATTTCACCTCTGACTATATTGTAGACCACTTTCCGGGCTTGTATCCGAGCCTTGATTGGTGCCTTGTCGGCGACGTCACCAGTTGGCCGGGCCGACGATGAGGTCACGTTCTTCAAGTCGCGCTACAAGGAGGTTGATAATCTAGCGGAACATGTGGGGCAGCTTGTTGAAGAGGCTAAGAAGCCGATTGGTGAGGCAAAGCGGAGGGCGCAGCACCTTCTTGAGGAGGTGAAGGAGAAGGCACAGGTTGCAAAAGGTCAGATTGCCAAGGATCTTTCTTTGATTCCCCATGAACACATCGGAGCTGCCTTTGCTGCCGTCGCAGGCGCTGGGCTTCGGCGCTTCCTTCCCGACGTCTTCGGCCCCTCTGGCTCCCCTTATAACCAACTCCACCGCCATCTTGCAACCATCACATTCCAAAACAGTGCTCGCGCTTTCCGGCCTCACGAAACTTGGTGTCTCCATTCGGATTTCTGACGACACAAACTTGCTCCACTCCTGGTACGACAACTATATGCGGTACCTTGGCAAAGTAAGTCGGCAACATGAACACAATCCTGATGCTCTCGAGTCGTCTGCTGACATGGATGCCCGTATCAAACGGGCGTAATACTGTTTGTCAATTTTTTTTACCCTTCTACAATAATCTGAACACATCATCTTAGCTTCGCGATGAACGTTACGCTGCTGCCAAGGCATTCGGAGTCCGCAAACCCCTCCTCCGAATGATCGGAAACCCGGCACTACACTCAGACGATGAGGCTCTAGACCCCCCAGAGGTGGTCATGAGACACAACGAAAAGCTCATCTACCGCTATCAGGCATGCGGGAAACCATACCGCCATCCTGCTGCCAGCATGATACTGCATGGGCTAGATGACAGGGTGATGGACAAGTGGAAGCGCAGACCTACAAAAGTGTGGGGCAAGCAGTGAGTAGTTGTAATTTCCGGGATGTTTTTCTTATTGCTATTCAGACCTCGTCTCCGCAGGACCGACACACTGAAACCCGCATCAAGACTGTCACTCATCCATCCCGAAGCTCAATATAAGCTGAAAGACTCGATTCCTTCTCCCCCGACTACTACAACAAGACAATGGATATTGACGAGAAGGCCCTCTTCGCAACAAATGGTTTAGCCTTTCCAGAACTCCAGTATTGCATTACCGAGCATGCCGACAAGTGGATTGCACTTGGTGCTGAGGCATTTGCGACGGAGTATACGGCTGGTGCATTGGCACAATACAAGATTCCAACACCGCAGGAGATCGAAGACGCACGCTTGGAGCGTGAGCGGGCAGAGGCAAGCGAGGATGAATATGAGACGGACTTAGATGACACTGATTTTGAAGATGCGATGGAGCAGGAAGATGTTGAAGCAGAGTTGCAGGATGAATAGCCTGAGAGCCGCTATATTTCTTCATGTGTTTGTAGACATTGACTGTAATTATTGACATGTCCTAATGCCATTGCGCTCTGCCACCTTGTTGACGTCTTCCAGCTCCTTCCAGCTCTTCAACGGGATATGTGAGGCACTCAACCGGCTCGGCCCCCGGTCCCGGCGTCTGCTGTGGGCTGCACGCATCGCGCGTCTCCTAGCTCTCCGCTCAAATGGAGCACGATTCCGTTGTTCTCTTCGCCCATGCTATCCGCAGCGCGAGGTCTCTCGCCATAGCTGACCTTCCCGATCGACGTGTTGCGCGTGAGAGCCTCGCTCGTTGCGGCGCCCCGTCGGTGGTGGTACCGGCGGAACCGTCATGGCGAAGGGATTGACTGCGAGCGTGCGCTGTTGCATGAACGTCGCTGGCCTCGGAAAGTCCCGGCCGGGCAGCGCAGACCTAAGCGCTGAGTCGTCCCGCGTGAAACTCGCTGGGGATGGAGGGGCATATTGCCTCGTCTCACCCTGGAGGTCCTGAGCCGGACGCGTGAGAACTCGGCCGACCGGCCCCGAGTTTCGCACAGCAGAGATCGGCGAGCGCAGGGCCAGCCGTTGGCCCGCTGATTTCGAAAACTTCAGCGGCTAGATGGCCACATTTGCTCTACCTGTGCTGAGAGTATATACGAGAATAGTAGGACTGGGACTCGCACAGTAGGACTCAGTCCTACTTTGATGGGTCCCAGTCCTACTCCCGCGGCCCCGGAATGGGACTCGCATCCCGCATATCAACCCCAGGTGATGGATCGACAACCATCGCATCAACGGGGTTGCGGCGCCGGCCTCGATCGACATCGCCGTCTTATTGCACTTCTGGCGGGCCATCCAAGGGGCGATAACTGGCCCGGCATTTGCACCGCAGCAAACGAAGCAGTCGAACTTGCTGCCCAGAAGATCCAGGTCAGCGCGGCGGCCGGGGTTTTCCACCCCGGACCCCGACCAGGGGCTTCGCCCTGGACCCACCCTGCCGGGGGCTTCCGCTCGCCGCGGGGCCCGCTGCGCGGAGCGTGGCATCTCTTTTCAGCTGATTTCATTATTTTTTGACAGGGTTGCGGCGCCGGCCGCGACGGCCGGGGTTTTCCACCCCGGACCCCGACCGAGGGCTTCGCCCCGGACCCCACGCTGCCGCGGGCTGCCGTTCGCCACGGAGGCCCGCTGCGCGGTGCGTGATCCATCTTTTTATGATTGATATTCTGATTTTCGTTGACTTGTTAGGGCTCGGCTATGTGTTCTCGGCGCCGCGAGAATGGGACTGGGCCATCAAAGTGGGACTGAGTCCTACTCTGTGAGTACCACTCCTACTATTCTCGTTACTGCTCCTGTGCTGAGAAATTCAACCCGAACGGACCAGAATTCAGCTCGCCGCTCACCGATGTTGTGCAAACCATCGTCAACAGCGAGCGCGGCTTACGCAGGTCAGCAGTGCGCGGGGCGCCAGCGCCAGCGCCAGCAGCTGCGGCGCGCTGGGCGGGGGAAGCAGTCGTCGCGGCGGTCTGCAGCAACGTCCACGCGCAGTGCATGGACAGTGCACGTGGTGATGTGGCAGGTGCCACGAATGGCATCAGTAAAACTACAGGTTGGTGAGATCTTTGGTCTTTGAAACAGATCTTTGGTCTTTGGAATAGGTCTTTGGCAGTCTTTGTCTTGGGGAGGATGATCTTTGGTCTTGGGCCATGGTCTTTGGAAATGTTTTGGTCTTTACAAGTTTTGTAAAAGAAAAATGAATTGGGCTGGAGATAAAGTTGGCTATTGGATCAATACACTTGATAGCATTCTTTAATGGTTTCTCCAGAGGTTGTATAGACAGAGACATGCTAATTATCATGCTGAATGGAGACATTGGAGCAATAGAGGGGATAGAGGGCCTGTTCACCACTCCCAAGAGCTAGGTTGGTTTTGTTACTACTGCCAATCAAGAGAGTGCCCCCAGACTTGGACTTTGAATCACTTGTACTGCTAGTGGTAGTGTCACCCTATAAAACAGGTCAGAATAGGGTGACCAAGACAAAAGGACATACAGCTTGATGCCAGGCCCACTGGCATGGGCCCAACACAGAGTTCTGGTCAATGTGTCCATTGGTTTTGCCGTGGTCACTGGTGGAGGACATGAGAGTTCGACGAAAAGGAATGACAAGTTATTCCGGGGATAGTCGGCTACTCCGGGCATCCAAGCCGTGGCCTAGCGTAACGACGGAGCTTCTGCTGATCATCAGCACATGGTGACGTGACGGACGTGACTAGTTTTTCGTCGCTCTTCCCTCTCTCCCACCACTTCCCCCAATCCCCCATGCATAGGCCGGTGCTTACCCCACGGTGACATGACACCGCTATGCTGAAAGACACTCACTGGCTGAGAATCTAGCGCATTGCAGCTATTTCTCGTGTGCGGCGCTATTTGCTCTT